ACATTTCTATTATTAATTTAAGAAATTTTTCACGTTTAATTTTTTTTTAGCTTCTGCTTCCTTTTCTGTTTCTTTCTTCATTTGCTTCTTGCTTCTTCCATAAGAAATTGCCAAGTTCATTCACTGGTAACAGCCAAAATTCCTCTGAAATCCTTTCCCAGTTTGGGTTCTTCTCATTTCTTCATGTCCACCTGTATCTGTATATCCTCTGAAATTTTGTAACCATCTGAAATTTTCCACTCAACTCAACTTCTTATATAGCCCCCAAATAGGCTTCATACACAAATCTCAAATTTTAAATTTGCATGTGTGAAAAAAACACCCACCAGATTTATGGGGAATTTAATGACTCCCCAAAACTGAGTTATGGCTTGATGAACAAAGTGAGACAATTGAACATTTTCTAAAACATATGCAAGAAACACAATACATAAAAAGAAAGAGAATATAAGATTACTAAAAATGTATTCTTTTAGTTGTTGAAATAGATGATACACTTACCTGAATGGAGTTCATATTCTATTTGTATTAGCTGCATTGTCCTCACATTATTCAGGTTAGCTTGTGCCCTCATGTCTGTTTCTTGAGTGGGCTGGAGACACATTTCTTTGCTCCATATTCTTTTTGGTATCTGAAGTTTGCACTCAAAATTCTATTTTGTGCCTAATTTTGGGTCTTTTTCATTATCAGTTTATAATAGACTCTTCTTATTATCAGTAGGAGCTATTTACCAAAGGAAGACAACCTATATATTCTTTATAGATTGGTCAAAAATTCCAAATTGTTTTGAAATTTGAAAATTAAATGCAAAACTGTTCGCAATTGACTGACTTATTTTTGACAGGTTCTTTTTGAGCCATCTAATTTTAGAAAGTTTAAAATGTTTCACATCAAATTTATTAATTTTTTATTGACCATCTGTTTTTTTTTAATTATTTTAAATATTTCTCTTAAATTCAAGTTAATAAACAAACTTAAACTATTATATTTATTAGTTTTTTTATTTTTACCTTTTTTGTAATCATTTAATTTACATTTTTTTATATAAATTTTTATATTCTCCCTGCAAGCAAAAGAAAGAGCAATAGTGTATTGTATTAATTATTTTATATTCACCTTTTAATCATTTGACATTCTTTTAAAAAATGTTATAACTTTCTGAAGACAAGAAAATCTGTTTTCAGTCTGAAAGTGTCCAGAGGTAGGGCAAATGCTATAAGCAGAGCAATAAGGAGCACCATGTAAGGAAATTTATCCAAAATAAACAAACTTTTAAAGGCCTCTTTTCCAGATTTTTAATGAAAAACATTAACTATGACTATGTAGATAAGCTAACAAAATCTTCAAATAATGGATAAAAATAGAGGATAGACTGTGTGTACACCATCCTATGCAGCTGTGGAAAGAAATATAAAGGGGAGACAGACCACCCCCTTAAGGTAAGGCTTCAAGTACACCAAAAAGCTGTAACATGAGGGGAAGTGGAAAAATCAGGCATGGCTGACCACATATGGAGAGAAAAGTGAGATCACTGCCCTCTGTGGGATCAGGTTGAAATCATAGACAAAGAACATCATTGGAAAATTCATAAACTTAAGGAATTAGCACATATGCTAGGCCACAAAATCTCCTAAGCTGACCAAGCATAGAAATTAATACAATATGGGAGCCAGTAATAAGGAGTGCAAGAGAAAAGCAATAATAACAAAAATTGCAATAAGACCTCTGGTAAAAAACATGCAATGATAACAGCAAAAATTGCAATATAAGCACTGGTAAAAATGGTTGCTGAAGACATTAAGTTTATAAGTCCCAGAAATTCATGCAATTAAGGACACATGGCACAATGGATAAATGCGTTAGTTAGATCCATTGACAGGACCCAAAGAGTGTGAGTTCAATACCTGGTTAAGAACTTGAAGAGGCGAATTAACAGGAGATAACTGACAAATGACATCCATTAGACATTACCCCATTGTGCAAAATAAAGGGTTCAGTTCGACACCTGAAGATGGCTGGAGCATACAACAGCCGAAACATTGTGATAAATATAGCAACAAAGACGAGGACAATAGTCTGAATAATGTAAATAGTGTACATAATAACTCATCTCAGAAATATAGACAGATACTGGATAAAAATAAGTTTAGGTTAGTACATTCTGAAAGGGGATTGAAGCAATATTTTTACATAAGACCTAAATCTCTCTCTCCCTTCTTTTTCACATGCATTTGTGTCTGGTGTTGGAGAGAGAAGCTAAAAATGTAAACATCAAGGAAGAGAAGAAAAAAAACATAAACATGAGGAAGAGAGAAATCATAGACACCCTAACTACACAAATGGACAAAAACATTCACAAGTGAATTTTGATGGCTTATTTTTCAATTGTTTATATGGTAGTGGAAAGTTTGGTGGTTACCATTTATTTAATGGTGTTGACGGTCCAAATCAATCCATATCATTTTTTACTCTACAAATATGTTAAGCAAAATGCAAAAACAACAAGAGAAAACATCAAGAAACATTTGTGATAAAAGACAAAAGGTGAATATTTGAATAACAAGTAATTTTCAATATATTTTTGTAATGAAAATATTTTACAAAAATGTATTGGATTTTTTTAGGTGAAATCTTTTTAGTTTATGTTGAACTCAAGTTTGATGAAAGATTAAATTTTGTTAATGAGTTCTGATTTGAAAGAATGTTTCTTAGAATCTGTTACTGAAGATTCTGTAAATTAATTGCAAGAGAAAAATTTACATTTAAGAATTTACTGTTCACGTAAGTAGTAAATTTTTGTAAAGTTGAATAGAATTTTGGGATCAAAGAAGTTTTGACCTAATTATTTTTGGATATTGGAATAATGTAGAATTTGGGTTCTACAATATAAACTTTATATAAGAAATTTTGTAAATTTTTTTAAATACAAAATATTAACAAAAATGTGCTCAACTTTCTTTTCACACTTTTGTTTGACTTTAATTTCTGTAAATTCAAAAAGAATAGATTAAAAACGAATTAAGTAAAAAAAATAAAAAAATATTTTAAAAATAGAATAGTAAAACTACATTTATTAAACTTTTCAGTTTTGGATTTGTAAATTTCATTTCCACTTATCACATCTAGAAAATATCCCAATACAGAATTTTACATGATTTTTAAACTATTATAAATTATTATAATTAAAATTTTTAAAAAATGAAAAAATTCTTATAAAAATTCATTATTCATCGGGAAAAGTTTATTTCTTCAGACAATAGTGTCCTTAATATAACTTATTTACAAAAGCAATTAAAGCTTTTCTAATTAAATAATATCATAGTTTTATTGCATTTATTATTTTTCAATTCAGAGTAGATTTTCAGTTAGAATAGTAAAAGTTTGAAATAAAAAATTAGATGATTTACATTCTCCATAGAGTCCTACTTTTAACAAATAAAATAAAAATTCAGGAAATAGAAAGGAATTTTGCGAAATTTCATGAAATTAAGTAAGTGAGGGGGGGTAACATATGTAAAAAAATATTTTTACCAAAATTTTCTGAAAAAAAATTTCAAAAATAATTCAATTCATTTGTGAATAAGTCCTGAAAATTTCCTTAAAATCGGACAATTATTTGATTTTACAATAATTTCCAAATCAATGTGTTTTCAACGGAAATAAAGCACAAAAAGTCAATGTAATTATGCCACCCCGATGACATGAACAAAACAAGATTTTAACCAAAATTTCGAACGTGTTAGAAAGGATTAAAAAATTTTAAAAATGAATAAAAAAATACTTTGGTCTTTTATCATAAACATTTTGACGATAAAACTTTATTTTTATTAACTTTGTGGCCTTTTTCATTACGCTATAATATATGCTATTTTCTGCGAAAAAGTGGAGGTACCTAAAAGTAAAATGTTTTAAATTACGATAATCAAAAACAAAATTAAAGTTCAATAGAAAACTAACAGTAACAACATAGTTGCTGTAAAAAATGGATCAAACTTGTACTCTTTTAGTTTTTTACTCCATTTTCTTCGAATCTAACTTTTGTTTTGACAAAATAAGAATTCTAACTGAAAGTAAGACAGAGATTTCTCGAAACAATAAAATTGGAATAAAAATTTGGTATGTATTTATTTATTTATACTCTTTTTCTTTTGACAATTATTTCAAACAAAAAATTGTTGGACAACTTTTTCAACATTTCAAAATTAAAAAAATTCAATTCACACTTTCACAATTTCGGTTCCATTTTTTTAAATAAAGAATTTAATTTATAAGTAAGTTAAAAAATAAAATAAAAGAACTTTTCGATTAATTGAAATTAAAAGTATTATTAACAAATTAAACACAATGTTAAAAAATGTTTATGCTTTTTTTAATGCATTAAGAATGCGCTCTTCAGACACCTAAAACTATTCAATAAATTCCAACATAATAATCATCTTTAACTTTAAAGAAAAATATAACGCGATTTCGTCTAAGTACACTGAATATGAAAAGATATCTTTATTTTTTAATTTTTTTTTTTATTTATTTTAGTTTTTATTCGGTATTATTGAATAATTTTCTTGTTTAACGCCATTTTTGTGAGTGAATTCCTTCTCAAGGGCAGGAAATAAATATGATTATGAGATTTTAAGTTGTACATCGTGAAAACTTTTTAAAATAAATATATTATGTATAAGGCGCATATATTTCTTCTTAATTGTCTAATTAATTTATCTTCTAATTTGGGTGCAACTCATTTTTTGCAAGAATTTTTCGTTTTTTTTTTCCATTGAAGACATGTCATTTTCAAAGAACTGTTTTATTTTTAATTTGTGTTGATTTTTATAACTTTACAGAAAATTGATTGCTAAGAATTTGATTACAGCGTAATCACGGTAACTATCTATGCTCGCTGTGTTCTCGTGACAAATTGAAGGCGGTGATGTGGGTTCGAACCAAGATGTTTAGCAGTTGGGTGCGGAGCCCACTTTTGCCGATGAGGGGGCGGTGCTTCGATTATGCTAAACAAAATGGCTACTGACATGTTTCAACCTGGGAGTAGCATTATACCAGCTACACTCGTAGAACTCTCCGTTTCTTGCAGGTAATAAATTTTTTTTGTGTGTGTGTGTTTTTTTTTTTTTTACCTTTCTTTATCTTACATTCCTATTTTTCACTTTCTTTGTCACTTAAGCCATTAATCATGTTTAATGGTTGTTCTTTTTCCTTCGCCATAAGTAGTTTTAGCTTTAGTGCTGATTATTGCAAACAGTCAGATACATGTTTTCAAGTAAACATCAACAGGTTCAGTTAGCGAATTTCTGCTAGAATATCAGCTAGAACTATTTTCTTTTATTTAACAATATACTTTAACTTTGTTTATAGAAAATTAATGCGACGGAAAAAAGTGGGTACAGTCGAGAAACGAAAGAATCCCCCCCCCTCCCTTGGAAAAAAAATGGTAAGAAGGAAAGAAAAAGTAATAAAAATGCGCGAATAAAAACACGACTTTTCTGTTTTGGTGAATTAATCCAAATTTATTTTATTGAATTATTTAGTTTTAGTTGCAACCCCATAAGAGATTAAGATTGATTTTAGAAACGATTTTTAAAGTCAAGACTTTCTTTGAAATTTATCTTCTTCCCTGAGGAAGAACAGTAAAGTAAAAATAAATAAAAATATGACAAATTGGCACTAATTTTTTTTTAAATATGAATTTCCGATAAAATAAAATAATTTCCGAAAAAAATTAAATAAATTTAAAAAAAATCTCATGTGGCATTTTATTTTACGATGCTTTATTTTGTTTTGCTTAACAATCAAGAAAAATACGATGTATTTCAAATTAATTTATTTTAAAACTTTATTAATAATTCCAGAAATGTTAATAGTTTTTTTGTTTTTTTTTTTTCGTGTATGTTTGTTGCACTGAAGTAAGCTTTTCGCTTTGGACGATATTTATTTAACTAGTAACTAGTTGGTTGATTTTAAAAGAGGAAACTTTTTGGTCACTCAATAATTTAAATGGGTAATATAAAATTTATAAAAATTTTCATTTATAAAAAAAAAATTTATGGGTGCTGTCTTCTTCGTTATATACTTATAAACACGATTTTTCTAACTTGTTGGAAATCTCATCTGAAAAAAAAAAAATCACCCTTGAAGCAAAATGCGAAAATCATTATTCGATGTGATTTATTTTAAAAAAAAAATTGTTACCAATCCTTTTTTATAATTAATATTTTTCCTTTTTTGTTGCTTTGACAATATTTTTTTAAATCTAGAAATTTCAACCTGTCAATCCCATCCCGAAAAGCGATTTACATACATTCACTGTTAGTGTAAAAACATTTCGTCAGTTTTTTTGTTTTATTTCCATTCATAAATTATTTATTTTTAATTTGTACTTTTTCGTAAAAAAAAAAGTAAAAGACTACTCAAATTTTTCTCGAAGCAAATTGTATAGTACTCTAAATACAACTTAAAAAAAAAAAAAAAAAAAACTTTTTTAAACCGCTCATACTCAATTTTTCGTCCCGAGTGAAATTCATTCAGTGTTTTTTCTGTTTGTTTTAATGTTTTGCGTTTTGATGCCCAATGTTTAAAAAAAAAAATAAAACTCTTCATATAAATAAACAATAATAGAATTTTATTTATTATAAAATTATGTTATGCAATAAAAAAATTCCTACTAATGATGCTTTAAAATTACTTTAAAAAAAGAAAGTTAAAAGAAGTCTATTCTGGTTTGGGATTCTTTTTCTCAAGTTACTACAGGTTGTAATTTTGACATGGTGCGCACTCTGAAGAAAGATTTATCAGTACCAACTCGGAATAAAATAAAATGATTAAATAATACCATTCTTTTAGTAATTTTAGTAAACAACATTTGAAAAAAAGTTTACAAGTGATAAAAAGTTTTTCTCACATTAAGAGAGCATTTATTGAAATTTTAATTAAAACTAAACAGGGAAGCATGGAAATGGGTACTTTTTTTCAGTTAGTTTCCTTTCAAACGGCTACTATTGCAGCTATTTCTATTGCTTTGATTACTTCTGTTAATTAATATTTGCAACGTATTTGGCATATTTGTTTATATTGTAGGAACCCCAGAGAATCATTTTGTATCAAATTGTTGGCGCTTCAAGGAAAGTAAACAATAATTTGTTGAGGTTGGCAGGAAATTGGAGAATATTGAGAATTTCACACACTCATGGAATCAGTATAAGAAAAAAAATGTAAATAATAATGGCCAGTGGTAATGATTAGTAGATAAAACTATATTCCTTGTTTGATAAATTAAGAAGATCAAGTCATAGCAGCAATCAAATTGAAATTGAACAGCACTTGACATTTCTTGTGTGTCTCTCATTGCACAAAAAATGTTAGTTTTTTACCCAAATAGTCGTAATAAGATGAAAACCCTGATTCCCCTAAACACAGTTGACCAGAACAAGAAGATTAAATCAATTACCTATTATAAAAATTTAAAACTACCAACTTCATTGTCAAGAATTTCAACTAGTAAGATCCAAACTACATAGGACCAACATTATTTATGAGTTTACATGCTCCCTACGAACTGCGTTCATGTTGAAAACAAAATCATAACGAATAGATCAGGCATACCACGACATGCCTGTCAAGAACACTTGCATCTCTTGAATTAGGGCACATTTAAATACACGGAGACCTACCAGCCTCTGTCCATAACATACTTCTGGAAAATATAAGCATAGAATAATAGATTCATCCGCATGAAAAAATGGTTAAAAATAATGAAAGTGTTAATAATAAAGAAATAAGTCAACTCTCATTAATATGAATTCAACCACGTGATGACCGTTTTCGGAAATGTAAAAACTTTCTCATCCACACATATATATATATATATATATATATATATATATAATTATTATTTATAAAAAAATTATAACATAAGTATGTTATAAAATCACTACAAAAATAGCCATTTTGTTTCAACACACTCGGTGTCTTATCAAGTGATGATGTTGAAGATAAATGGTTTTAAAAGTTTCAGATTAGTTAACGATCATACACTGGGGAAACATTGTTACAAAAGCCAAAATAACCAATCAAAAACCAAGTATAGAATGATTCAAAAGCTTGACAACGAAATCATGTTATAATAGCTATTCAGATCTTTAAAATACGTGTAATATTAAAAATAAGTTATACTAACCAATAATTATAAAATTATATGATAAAATTTAATATTAAAATTAAAAACTGGCAATTTTAAAATCCAAATTTAATCACTATTAAGTTTAAAAACTACAAAATTATTGAGAAAAGAAAAAATATATATGTTTATTCAATTTATTTCTTCATTGAAATTACGTTCGACAAGACGCTACAATATATCTGGTCATTTGACAATACATGTATATATATATATTTTTTTTTTATTCTAAAGTGTGTGAATGTGGTCTTAAACTCACGCGCAAAACAACAAAAGCACAATCAGATTATAATACATAAGCACTCAGACATATTTAGATATATATATATATATACACACACACACAAACACAAAAAAAAAAAAGGAAAAGAAAAGGCGTCGAGACAGGAACATCACTACAACCCTTTATGAAAAAAAGGAAACGGGGAAACCAACACCTATACACACACACACAATTAAATGTGAATACACTCTACATACACATAGACACCGATAGATACACGTACACACATCCACAGACAATGATCTAGACAATCAGATACCACAACCAATAAATATTTAAGACTTAAAGTATCATTAAATAAATGCTAACCACTTATTAAATTATAATTTAAGGGAGCAAATATACAAAGATAAAAATGGTTAAAAATAATATTATTTAATATATTAAAACGAAAATTCCAAAACCACAAATATCAATAAAAATATATTTTAGTCATATAAGTTGATAATAGTTTCATTATATATTAGGCAAAGAAAAACAGGATAAAGAAACCCACAGAAATAAGCGTACATTCATACGCATATACATATATATACACGCAGCAACAAACACAAATTAACACACATAAACATTCACTCATACATATACATACAGAAATACATACATATAAATGTATAAACATATACGCACATATACATATCTATGATAACAAGTACACATGTACACACATATACATATAAACATAAATACACACACATATATATATATATATATATATACACACATTTTTATGCACACATACTCACATATATAAAAAATATGCCCAATATACCTACATGCACCAATACATATATGAACATATATATACACATAGACTAACTACTGTGGCAGTGATGACATACCAAAGTTTCCATACCCACACATACACACAAACTCATACATAATAGGTGCCAACACACATATATACATCCACAAACATACATAAATATATATACATACATATCTACAAATAAACATATATCTCTATATATATATATATATATATATATATATATATATATATATATATATATATATATTCACTTGAACAAATAAACATCCTTGATAATAGATTAATTGAAAATGCTTGGATCTACAAATCATTTGGATAGTTTTTATATATTCCTTTGCCCAGAGAATAAATCACTTGAACAAATGAAAGAAATAATTAATAAAAAGCTTAGTCACAGTGCCTTGTTAGTCATTATCAATGAAACTTGTATAAAATTGGGATTGCTGTCCAAATACACACACACATACTGTACTCATTTAGGCAGTACATATACTAAAATTGGGACAATATAGAGATTAGCATGGCCCCTGCACAAGGATGACATGCAAATTCATGAAGTGTTCCATATTTTTAGATTGATAAACATTTCCTATTTGTTCTTTATCTTATTACATATACACACCTCCAAAAATTAAAGAAGCCATCAATTTAAAAATGAAAAAATCTTGAAGCTTTTTTAGTTTTAATTCCAAGCTAATAGATTAAATTCAGTATTTCTAATAAGTAAAATACTTTGCTGTATTTGAAACTGCATTTAAATTGAATGAATTTTTTTTTCTGATTATTAGTAAAATTGATGAAATCGTCCCTAGTGACAACCCAACATAATTCTCTTTATTAAAACAT